CAGCACCACATGCCAGCCAGACCCGCCCCCTGGTGGGCTGAGCTGGCCACACACACACACAATAAATAAATGTAATAAATAAAAATAAATAAATATTTAAAAAAAAAGAAAATAGAAAATAGACTGGGGAAGACAGCTCAGTGGTCTAAGTGCCTGCCTCAAAAGCACAAGGAACTAGATTCAATCCCCAGTACCACAAGCCAGGCTGACCCAGAACACTGGGTGCACAGTGCCAGCCACCAAGACCAGGCATGGTGACACACACCTGTAATCCCAGCACTGGGGAGGCTGAGACAAGAGGATTACCACAAGTCTGAGCTGCAGAGTGAGACCCTGTACCAAACAAATAAATAATTAAAAAGAAAACAGAGAATGTCAAATCAGGTGTGGTAGCACTCCTGGTGATCCCAGGTACTTGGGAGGCTAAGGCAATGGGACTGCAAGTTTGAAATCAGCCTAGAAACTTAGACTCTTTCCCAAAATAAAATTTAAAAAGGACTAGGGAATTAGCCCAGTTCTAGAATGTTTGCCCACCATGTCAAGACCCCAGGTTACACCCAAAATACCAAATTTTAAAAAAAACATTGGTGGGGGGAAATGTCAAAATATAGTAAGAAAAAAATTAAGAAAGTACAGGGGCTGGGGAGATAGCTCAGTGGCTTAAGTGCCTGCTAGGCAAGCACAAGGTCCTGAGTTCAATCACTGGTACAAAAAAAAAACACCCCAAAAAACAAAAACCAAAAAATAAAGCAAGCAAGTGACTGGGTATATAGCTCAGTGGAACAACATGAACTTCGCAAGTACAATTCCCTGAGTTTGGTCCCAGCATTATATACAAAAACAAGAAATAAGATATATCTAAGTACTTAAGGAAATCTTGAACAAGAAAGATTATGAAGATAGTCTTGCCAATCTCTTCTAGTTTATAAGGCGCAAAACTGAAAAAGCAATAGTAAAATAAAATTTATTTTGCATTGTACTCTGATTTTACTACATAATCTTTGGAACTTGGGACCTAAACAGGAAACAAATATTAACTTCCTAAAGTTTTAACATTAAATATTTAAAACACACACTATAACTCATAGTGGAATACAAGAGTTAAAAAGTTATGTTTTCACTGAGTCAGGAATCATAACGCGTTACAAGGTGTAATACAACTGGGATACACAGGAAGACCTGGCAGAGACCCCAGGGAAAGACTCCTGGGCGTCCCACAGCAAATCGACTTCTCCGCTATCCACAGAAGGTGTGTGCTATGTCCTTACCGTTTGGGGGCTAAGTGGCAACGTCTGTTCAGGACGAGAAAAGCAGTTAGAGAATTTCCAAAGCCATGGCTTAGCATCATTATCTTGTTGAAGCCATCCAAGTGTTCTACTGCAGGGGTTCTCAATTCCGTTTCCTTCCATCATACAACCATACAAAGTGGTTCAACATTCTTTCATCTTCCTTTTCTTTCATTCTTCCACCCTGTTAAAGAGTGAGATTTTCATATTATTTCTTTGCAGAATATTGCAAAATTTCATAATATATTAAAATTTGAAACTGCAATTGTATGTATAGAACAATGGCTTCCCACAATCCAAATCTTAAAGAATGGATATCAGAGTATATTACAAGTTACTAAAATTTGATAAACTTGGTTGATTCTGTTTATGTTTAAAATCTAACATTACTCTGATTTAAAAAAAAAAAAAAAAAAAAACTATAATCTGACATTCCCTGTATTCCATAGCTCTCCAAAAAAAAAGAATTCTGGATGAATTTTACTTATTTTTATATACAGCCATGTCTGTAAGAAACAACCAATTTTGGACAACTGCATATCCTCCCTGAGTGATGTTTTCTTTTCATTTGGCTAGAGACAACTTGGTCTGACCTGAAGCAGGCTTTTTCTATTGTTTGTCCCTCAATTCTTCTCCACTATCTCTCTATAAAGATTCTGATTAGGAGTCAAATAGTTAACAGAAAAGGACATCTAATCTTAGTAAAACAAGGGCCATGATATCAGCCTCTCCCACTGTGTCTGATACAAATAAGGAAAGTCCAAAGTAACCAACCTCTGTGGACTCTGAATTCTACCCTGCCAGAGAACAAACTAAACTAATATCTTAGTGTATAATAGAAGTAAAATCTGATGTACCATGAAAAATCCAGTAATGAGAAAAATTACAAATTACAAATGTGCTGTACCCATTCCAATGTCTTACAAGTTTCACAGAGAACAATAAAAGCAGATCAAATCAACTCACATCCATTGGGATGAAAACAGTTTAAATTAAAACAACAGGGGGGGCCTGGCCTTAGCTCAGTTCTTTAAGTGGCTGCTTCCACAAAGCTGTCAGCCTCAGGTTGCTGTAGTTCGATCCCCACAACACTCCAGCCAGCCAAACCACCCTTG